CGGTACGTCTCGAATATCTCACTATTTTCATCGATTTTCGCAAAATTCACTCTGCTCTCGCATCCAATGGCTGACCTGTACGCGTTAAAACTACTGAGAGAACTCGTTCTACGACTTTTCTCCATCGTATTTTCGAGGCGCGATGTCTCCTGGGGTAAAGTCAGTTGTTCCTTTCGCAGGTTACATCGAGATACTCGGCGAATCCCAGTGGATAAAACCTCGCCTTAGTAGGGATGATCCTGCGAAATGGCCCCACAGTGGCCACGAATCGATTAGCTTCTGAAAGAGCGTTGCCTCCGCACAAACCAAATTTCCCACCCCGTTTTATCTCATTATTTCGAAATACTAAACTTTGCGGCGCGTCTCGCCTTGACATATATTCCGAAAAGGAGAGGGAAAAATAGGGAAAAGTAAGATATAAAAAGTAAGATATAAAAGTTTTCGAGAAAGTTATGTCGGTACTTCGAATAATTATCAAGATAGAATTATGATGTATAAACGCAGTAAAATTATAATTGGCTTCGATGAAAATCTAATTAGTCTTCTGTTTACGTAATTAGAGAGAAAGAGCTTAAGTTAGCAAATTAGGAAATTAATCATTATCTCCTGTGTATTTAGCGACCCGCCCAATTTTTCGTGTCCGACAGTGGGAAGTTTGTTGCGTCATTCGCACCAATCGATTTGCCGGGTATTACTTTTTCGCTGCTGCGGAAAAAAGTCGCAACTTTCTGTCACGCCTCGACATTAGTTAACGAAGTTCGTCCAGAGCCTTCTTTTTTGCTCACTCGCGGAAGTTCGTGTCTGTGGAGGATATCAAATCTTGAATTAATTTCTGACATGATGTATTGCGGAGCCATCGATCTTCTCTTGGCTTTCACGTATTGCAACATTAGTACCGCTGCGAGGAGATATTATAGGTAAAAAAAACTTCAAAGATATAATTCGGTTGCTGTATATCATTTTAAAAATTTTACAATGAAAGTTATATATTAGCGTCGTTATCAGCTCATCGATTAGTCGTAAGTTTTATTGCTTTTCACATTTAACTTTAGTTCAACGACGATAATTCGACTTATAATTCGATTCATAATTATGTTTCATTTACGACACGGAGGAAAATGGAGGTCTAATCTTATCTTGTTTAATCGATCGCTACTATCTGATTATTACTTAGAAAACGACTAGTGCCGGATGAACATTTCTGATAACTGAGTCCCCCGCGACGCAGTTATCAGAGATAATATATCGTTCATTTACATGTGAATTTTCTTTTCACTAAAAGAAGTTTGAGATTTATCGTTTAATTCTGAAAATATCCAACATGTATTAAGGATTAAACAATTGCAACAAACTATATGACGTCTCGTAAACTTTTTCGTTAAGAAAAATTTAAATTGACCGAGGAACGTAGGTGAACGGTCTAAAGAAATCTAATCGGAAAGAGTGGGAAGAACGTTGGGTCCCGCATTTGCGCTATTCACGCGATCTCATTTTGCAAAAGTCACATTGCATAAGAATGTTTTCTTCGATTTGTTACATTTAATTTATTCCTTGCCGGAAGAGAAGCGCGTGAAATACGCGAATCGAATAAGTATGCCGCGTTTTTCCTTCGCGCGACTTCGCACTTTCAACCCCCGTTATTTTTCGCCTCCGCGGCATCATTTTCCATTTGAGAAAGGGGTATCGTCCGACGAAACGGATGCGGAACCGCGGTCGTGAATCGCTGCAAGCCCGGCAACGCGCGTATTCGCATTCGCATTCGCGCGAGCAGACCGCAAGAATTGCAGTTGGGGGTTTGAAAATACGATGGAAATTAATTTGCCGAGCTTAACGAACCCCGGGGCTCACAAAGCAGTGGGAGGTACCGACGGAACGTCGTGTTAATTACATTGAGACTAGCAAGAGTACACGGCGAAGACGGATTTTTATTTCCACGAATGAGGGAACATCGTGATTCGTATTTGTATTTTCCGATATTCAGCTTCGTTTTTTGCAAAAGTGCAACGAGAAATATCAAGAAATATAGAGGTATCTTTCATGATATCTTTCATGTAGATAGGATTCGTCGGACGATATTGCAAATAACAAGCTCATTTAACTAATTGAAGTCTATGAATGAATAATTAAAAATGTCTGTGAATAAATAATTAAAATAAAAGTAAAATATTCACCAAAATATATGTTGCTGTTCTCCACAACTCTTGAATTTATTTTGTAATGTGTGAGATATTTCATCGTAATAATAACTTAACGAAATATTAATTTTGGACGTGTCTTCCGCAAGATCCATTATTTTTTTTTTATTTTCTTCAGTCTTCGAGGAAAATTAATTTTTGTAACAAAAATTAATACAGATCATCTGCAACCGCGTAAAATAATAAATCGCCGATTCCCCGGACACGTGTCTCGAGAGCCGCAGACCACCGAGGATTACGAGACCTCCGCCCCGCTGGAGGTTGGGAAATTAGTTTTCGAGCTTAATAGAGTTTCGCGAGCGCGAAAGATGGGCACCACCCGGAGGCGACGACTACCGTTCCGAAAGTTTCCGCAACTTTGGCAATTTTTTCAATTAGCCGCGATTTTTCAGCGACGCGACGAAGCGCGCGCGCGCTCGAGAAAGCTCGATGAAAGCAGATTGTGCGCGTCTCCGTGTTTGTTAGACTCCTCTACTTTGCGATTCCGACGTCCTAACGACATTATATAGGTATATTGGAAAAGTCAAGCGACATTATGAAAGCGGCCTTAGCAGCTCGCGCGCGCAAACTTCTTTATTCCGAGAATACCCTCGCGGTCCATTCTTCTCCTCGACAATATCTTTTATGTCATTAATGGGTTGTATTGTGTACGCTATATCGCGGCCCGATGAAATGCGGCAAATGCGTCTTGCTATCTCGGTGACAGCTATTTCCGTCCGACTTCCGATTTGATCACATCGATGATTTACGAGTTCTGAAAGGAGCCCGAGAAAGTTGAAATCGCGCGGATAGAAAGCGACATTCGTGAATTCGAGAATTCGCGCGAATCAACTGCAATTTGCATTTATCGATATCTTTTTATTTTATCATTTCGTGTAATTTTTTTATTTCGATTCGAGAGAAAAGAAAGAGAAAGGGAGAAATATATCTATGAATGTGTATCTTGCACGAGTAAGAATTGCAAGGTACACACTATTGATTTTGCGCAATACTTAAAGATTTCCGAAGGAATTGCAATGGTTTCAGAGTAAGGCAGGAATGAAAGGGTGGATTGCACTCACACTCAGAGACACACAGACATATATACACACACACACACGAGGGAGACAATTTATTTGCCGAAGCCAATAGGTCGATCGTGTTAGATCAACCGGAACGAGGGGAAAATTTTATAAACTCCTTCGTGTGTCAGATTCAACGGTGGAAAAAAGAGACTTTGCTTGTTAGAAGGCGAGTCCCGAGCGTAGACAATTTATTGAAGGTTGGGAGACACAAATGAAATCGGGAAATCGTGGAATATCGTGAAATAGGATAATCTGAAACTGTTTCGAGCGTTTAAATACCCTTGACGTTTTGATATCAAAACGTCAAGGGTATTTAATGAGAGACGAGAGAGAGTTCGGTCAAGAAAATCGAGACAAAGCTTCTCTTTAGCCACGGCAAATTTGAGGCTTAATTTTTAAGCAGCGTTCGATAATTCTCATTCGTGTTTCATCGTACGTGATACTGGAGCGATTGCAATCAATAAATACGGTATTAATCAAGTTTTAATGACGAGCATTACGTCTAATATGACTAAGAGGAGGGAGCTTCAGACTTTATCGATTCGATCCGGTGCGGTATAGTTTATGAAACTTGACAAAGTGATAAAAAGATTAATTGGAGATTAAATGGAGATAAGTAGTTACGATAACGGAAGTTACATAGTTGAATGAGCTGTTATAATTACACGGGCTCTTACGTTGTTCTAATTTTGAATAGCAAAGATAACAAGGTTCTATTCCACCACGTAATTGACAAACTAAATATCAGAATTGTACAGAGTAATCTATCGAGAGGGAGGAAAGTCTGAATAATTTTTCTACACTTGAAGATGCAAAGAAATAGGGGAGGGAACAATTTAATTTCCAAGAACCTATCCGCGCACTCTCGAGAGGATTGATACGGGAAAATCTGCAATCGCGCGTTTCGTACACTCGTACGCTTTTCGTAATCAAACGCAGCATCCACCGTCGGCTGGATCGGACAGTCACATGAAACGCCCCTCGTCAGTACTTTTTTCACTGGCCTAACGAAGTCTTGTTCGCTCGCGCTTTTCATCGCGCGTTCTTAAAAGCATCGACCGGGCGAGTTTTAACATCGTTCCTGACCGATCCCCTTTCGCCGTAGCCGCCGATTGCATCAACCTCTTAACGTCAAGGTACCCGAGTCAAGGTATCGCATTTGCATATCGGAAAAGTCGTCGATCCGTCGCGACGGGCTGGATAAAGTTTCGTTTTATTCGACGTATCAAATCGACGTTTCCCTTTAGGGGCGCTCGCGAAATGGACGGAGGTAAACGAGATATCCCGTTAATAGGCCAGAGCGTAGAGTGAACTCGCTGCTGCCGTTGATATTAATATAGCTTATAGCGACCGATCGATTAATTAACGCGACTACCACGTGTCTAATCATTGTTTAGATTGAGTATTTCGACACGCAAACATATGATATAGTAGATAATGGCGGGAGTAAATAGGGACGCTATTTGTGTCGCAACATGACTAACTGCGTGAAACGCACTCAATTCGAGTGAATTGCTCATTCCCAAGTCCGATATTGCAATAACGAGAATTTTTGTCCTTGGCTTGTTGCTCCGCGAAATTTATATGATACAAGATAAAACGATGACGCGAAAGCAAATGTGAAAAAATAAAAAAAAAATGCGAAAAAGCAAATAAATTAAAAATTAACATTTTATTTAATTAAATTATAGGCTTCAATCATTGTTTAATTTATTATCTTTTTTTTTATTTATGATTACAGAGTTTTTAATTGAGAATGCACGATGACGCAGCGAATTTATCCGTTATCCGCAAGCCCTCGCGAGGGCTCATTAGATATTCAAATGGAGACGCTCAGATCAAATCACTCTCCCCGTCCGGAAAAGATCCTTTCGAGATGTAAGTATTGATATCATTAGAATGATTGCGTTTACTTGTTTAAAAATTGAGAATTTTATTGCGTTATTCGACGTGGAATTAAGGTACAATAGATTATACAATTGAATTTGTGAAAACACAGCGGTCTTTTTAATTTGAAATTTCGATAATAATAAAAATATTCATAATTCCACCGATAAAATAAAAATACTCATGAATCCATCCATGTCGCGATGTACGATTTAATCAAGCTCGAATAACTTGATTGACTCGAATTGCTTAAGATTTAGTGTTAATGCTGTGTGCTTTGTTGGCTTTAATATTTTTACGAGCTCGCATATCGTTTCATTTTCTTCAATTTGAACGATTATAATTACCAATCAGCATCGGTGCAGAACAATTTAGTCATCACCATGTATACATATATGTAACCGCAAAATGATCGCAATAATCAAGTGCAGTATTACATGTAATCAACGCAAATCGATCATGATAGGAATATAAGATATGTATCAGATTACGAGCATATGAAATGACAATGAATAATTATTGCTAGATAAGAACGAATTGTTTTGATATAAGATATAAAAAAATTTCAAATTATTATTAAAGTAAAAAGTTATTATAACATATTATTATAAATAATTATTATAAAAACTCGCGTCTTCGTATAAAATATATGTACATTATATACGTTATTGCATGTAGTCGATTATTATACTTTCCACCATATCGATAATAATGCAATAAAGCGTTATTAAATTTATTCTTTCGAATATATCATGTATCTTTCGCGATCAATGTGTAAATAAAGAACCATGCATATTCTTTTAGAAACATTGTAAATAAAGTTTATATTGATAACAACTATTTTACCAGCTACTTTTAAGCGAATAAACTAATAATGAGCGCAAGTTCAATGGATTTCATTTGAGTTATACGATAAAAGTGGGCAACGAATTATTCAATTAACTTACAACTTGTGACGAAAATGTATTAAGAGGTACTAAATGTCTCACTTGAAATTTCGAGCAGAGACTGCTACTCGTTTTAGTTACTTCCACAAGAGCTGCGACTAAGAAAGTTTTCTTGAGGGGCGATCGGTTACACAGGTCTTGTAAAGTATATAGGGGTTACCAGTGCCGTATGCGAATTTTCGAATTAGACTCGTGATTAAAAGACGATGTATCATTTTAGTAAATATTTTTATCGTTTATTAGTCCGCGGAAGGAACTCGATAAATATTTCTAAAAGAATATACATATTTCTTAAAAAAAAGAGAAAGGCATAAGAAACATAAGAACCATCTGATCATGTATTATATTTTCTAAAGTGACATTGCTACTAATTTATTTCTGATTATTTTCATAAAATTCCATTTTTCACAATTTAATATTCGATAAACTATGAGATTATCCTTGATGAATTTTGCGCGAAAATTTACGTTGATTACTTATCTCTTCAATCTCGCGTCTACCGTGCATGCGTGGCTACGGCACTGTTATTACTTCAGGTGGCAAAGCTTCCTATATTCCGCGCCGATCGTAGATTTGTCGGAGGAGTTTCTAACAGCAATTACGTCGCTAATGGAGCCCCCACGGAGAGATGCCGGTCGACTTTTACCAAAGTCTCTCATCCAGGACTGCTTTTCGAGTTCCTGGGCTTTGCGACGACGTCGAAACTTCTCGCAGATCCTGGTTACTTTTTTGCGCTCTCTCGTCTGGTTAGAAGTTCCCTGCATTCTCGTCGATCTTTAGATTGCTGATTTACGAACATTCCTCCGTTCGATTTACGATTTTTAATCAAGACAGTCTTCTTAGGCCATTTATCGAATAATGATTCTCTCAAAGTATCATTGATATCTACTGTTAATCATAATCTCATATGCGATTACGAAATATATATGATTATATCTTTATCATTCATTGGTGGAAAGTATGATAATTTAATATGCGATGCGTGATATATTATTACAAAATATAAATAAAGATATTTCGTAGATTCATTTTAATTATGTTATTATATTTTACATTTCAAGATGAAACAAATAAACAATGGTAACATAATAAACAATGGTAACAGAGATAGATTATTTCCAGCATGCCTTGCATTTAATGATGTTAGAATTTTGTACGTGTATGGTATGTTGTGTATATATTTCATTTCAGACACACAGCAAGACAAGGAAAGGGATAAATATGAAGCCGAGTATATGCTACAAGAAAATGGCAAAGCAATGTACGAATAAGCTCGTTACAGATTGTGACGTGTATATTTATATCTAGAAAAATAAAATAAAGAAGCTGGATAATGGATCGTTGCTCGCCAGCTTATTAACGTCTTAATACAGCCAGAGGAGATTCGCATAAAAATTTAACAGATCATATACAGTTTCGTATATAAGACAGATATGCTTTTACGAGGATGCTTTCGGTATCGAAACTTCGTCCCTTTTATCACTCCGTAAAAGTAACCGCGTCGTTTGTTTAACGCCTCTATTCTTTCCGTAACCGCACATGATTCCGTAAAGTATCCTCTAGTACGATGATTCGTAATCTTGCGACTACAACGTAGATGCTTAAAATACATTTTCACGTCTTTGTGAAAATTCAATTTTATTACTTCGCCTTTAGACAACGAAAATCACTCAAACTTCGATCGTAAAACTCTCGATTGACGATCGACTTTGTGTTCGCAGGGAATTCGTGCCACCGCAAACGAAGGAGGAGGATAAGTCAGCCTCGCAGAAGTCATCGCTGCCACCCGTGCCTTACTACAAACTCGTGAGTTTTTCTTACGAATAATTTATGAAATAACGCATGAGAGATCCTCGGATGGATCTCACAACCGTAATGTTCCCGCGACAAAAGCCGGTATCTGAGGAATCGAGAATATTATGGATGCTTCAACCTCGCATTCTTCCTTTTGTTTGTAGAATCCTCGTCGAAAATGTAGAGTCGCTTTAACGAATTTTTATGCCTTAAGAATGTTAAGAACATTAAAAGAAAATGTTTTTCCTAAGAAAGAAATTAATTAAAATTTTAATGAAGTGGATAAAAAGTAAAAGCGAAAAATTTGACACATCCTATATAAGCTTTCTTTACAAAACCGCGCTTTAAACGAAATGGGAGCACGCATTTTAGGGAGCACGCATTTTAGGGTGATTCATCAGCGAAATTGTTAGGAGTGATATTTTCTACAAGATAAATGACAGTTTATCTCTCATCACGGGAGAGATACATTTATAAAATTTTCTACATTATATCTTAATAGACCGTGAATCCTTTTGCATTTAAAAATTTAGCTTGAATGGAATTTTTTACAACGTTGCAAATTTAAATACGTTTTTCGGTTAATTATGATCGTTCTTGGTAGAAGTAGTCGTTCGTTAATCACATTGTTAGTCAGGTAAATTAATCTTGCAAGTTAAATCTTTCGGAAGCCATAAATTCGCGCTGCTGAATCATTCAAGTACGAGCAAACTTACCAAGCTGAATCCCTCACAAAAACGTATTTATATAACTTTAGAACAATTTTCTTGCTCTAATACATTATTTCTTTTATTCATTATAATTCTTTTATTCATGTCTTTTATACTTCTGCTAATATTTTAATATTTTCCATGTAAATAAAATAATCGTGCTACTTATAAATTATAAAGTACTTATATTCGATGCTAAATGAATTATCTTTTAATTGTTTTAAACTTAGTTTCGATTTGCAACATGCAGCGAATTGACACTGATCGTCTTAGGCTTAATATTGGGCTGCTTAGTAGGACTGTGTGTGCCAGTCGCCACGATTCAATATGGTGAATTCAGTACTCTACTAGTAGATCGTAATACAGAGAATCATGTGACCTCACCAACCCTCATGATGCCATGGTTCGGAGGTGGGAAAATTTTGTAAGTAATACTCAATCATTTCAGATCAAATATTATTATACATCATGGCACTGCGGGAAAAAAGATATATACATTATATTAAGATAAGGTCTCGTTTCTGATCACGGAAATAAAGTGTTATTTCGTCATTTCAGACCAGCTAATGCAAGTTACGAGGAGAAGATGGACGCTTTATACGACGATTCGATTGCTTACGGCGTCTCTTGCGCGGCATTATCGGCGATTCAATTCGTCCTTGGCATATTGATGGTCGACTTGCTCAACATCGCCGCCTTGAGACAAATCTCCAAAGTGCGCAAGATGTTCTTGAAAGCCGTCCTTAGACAGGATATGGCATGGTACGACACAAACACGTCGACCAACTTCGCCAGCAGGATTACCGAGTGAGTTTTTTTCCCTTTATCGTTATAGATGCATCGCAGATGAAAGCTCTCGATTTCGGGAGCGAGATAATGAGACAATTCGAGTAAATTTATCTCGATCGAAATTCGTCGCAATTTTAATGCTATCGATAAAATGTTAATCGACGTCTGTGGAAGTCTTTGAGATATTCGAAAGTAAAATTGATGTGTTTATTTATTTATTTATAAAAAGAAGAGTACGAAAACTCTATATAAATTTTTCGTCCTTTATTTCGAATATCTCAAGGATACATCTACCGTCGATCTCAAGTGAGGATTTCATGGAGATTGACAACTTTGATGATCTCTCGCTTCCGCGGAATAATTTCAACGCGGACAATATTCTGTATCTTCACGCGCCGGTGCACCCTCAAAGGGCAGCGTTATACCTTCGATTTTCGAGACCGTCGATGTAAACGTCGGGGAAGCGGACAGCATAGTTCAAGAGGCGAGAATCGGTGTGTTCATCAACAGGTGGGCGTTTGCGAAACTCGAAAAGCCTGTTCCCACACTGCCTCTGCTTTTGCTCACATTACATCGTATAGCAATTGGACAAGGCACTCGTATTAAAATTATTAGTCGCGTGAGTCACGAAGATGTTAGCTGATACGATTTAATTTTTATCTCGGAATAATCGATCTCGTTAATATAATTCTTGTGTCTTTCAACGGTCTGTAAAGATAAGAACGAATTAATAAAAGATTACGTTTTATTGCGCTGCGATATACCGTCATCTGCAAACCAACATAATCAACATGATGTAGCAATATCGCGTATGTTTCATATCTTGTAGAAATTCTTCCACTGTTTTTAATGATTGGCTATCAGTAATATCACTCGAGTTGTAATAGTTGAAAGGATTTCAACGAGTCTTGCAACACATGAATAGCAAAAATATGAGATAGAAATAACGCAGATAACTGCTCGCAGGCGAACGCTGATAATTAATCTCATTCAAAAAATTCCACAAGTTCGAATTTTAAATATATGTTATTTTAAAACTGAGTCATTGTGATGATCCGCTATAAATAATGTAAAAGAGGACATTGCATTTCAGATAAAATGAGATTACGCGAAATATCAGAGCGCTTATAATCTCAGTTAATTATCGCGTTAATGAATATGTGCGAGCCAATGTTATCCATCTTCTTGACAGGGACTTGGACAAGATGAAGGAGGGAATAGGGGAGAAGCTTGGCATTTTCACGTATTTGACGACTTCGTTCATTTCTTCCATCATCATCTCATTCGTGTATGGTTGGAAATTAACCCTGGTCGTGCTGAGCTGCGCACCAATCATAATAATTGCCACCGCTGTAGTCGCCAAGGTGCAAAGTTCTCTGTCGGCCTTGGAGCTGACGGCCTACGGTCAAGCCGGTAGCGTCGCCGAGGAAGTTCTCGGCGCCGTAAGGACCGTCATAGCTTTCAATGGCGAGGAGAAAGAGGTACAGAGATACAAGGAGAAACTGATGCCCGCGGAGAAAACTGGCATTAAGAGAGGCATGTGGTCCGGAATCGGCGGCGGAGTTATGTGGCTCATCATATATCTCAGCTATGCGTTGGCATTCTGGTAAGATGCCCTTTATTTTGACAGAAGAATATTATTCCCAGATATTTATGTATTTTCTCGCATTTCGTAAAGATTTAATTTAAGTATCCTACGTATCATAATGATTGAAAAAATTTATTTTTCTAGTGTGTTTTGATAAACTATTGTCACGCAATGTGAACTAGGAATTAGAAATGCAAATTTACTCTGTTATTATATATCGTAATTTTATTTTTTTAGAATTAAATTTGAATAAAATCGTCCGTGTAATAGTCAAATAGTTAGCGATGAAATGCAAAACGATTGTTTTCACGCAATAAACTGTAGTAAAAATTAAATATTCTAATATTACATATAAATATAAAATTAAATTATATAAAATTAAATATTCTAATATTACATATTTTTAACGTAAACATTTGTTTATATTTTATCTTATTTATAATACGAGCAAAGTAACTTTTACTCTTCTTTCAAGTATAAAAACCATGAGATGGATAATTGGGCACTTACGTTTGAGAGTACCACTCGGTTTCTGTTTACACAGTATTCGACAAAAAAGATGTTAGCTTTAGGGAACGTGTCGCTTTCCGGCAAAAAATAGTGTCTCTCTGCTACAGGTACGGTGTGCAATTAATCTTGGAAGATCGCCCGAAGGAGGTGAAGGAGTACACGCCGGCGGTATTGGTGATCGTGTTCTTCGGCGTACTTTCCGGGGCGCAAAATATGGGCCTGACCTCGCCGCATCTCGAGGCGTTCGCGGTGGCGAGGGGATCCGCGGCCGCGATCTTCCAGGTTCTCGATCGCGTGCCGACGATCGACAGTCTGAGCAAGGAGGGCCGACGACTCGAGTCCGTCAACGGCGAGATTGAATTCAAGGACGTCGCATTTCGTTATCCGGCGCGGAAGGACGTTCAGGTGTTGCGGGGATTGAATCTGAAGATCAATCGCGGCGAAACGGTGGCACTTGTCGGCGGATCCGGATGCGGTAAATCCACTTGTCTACAACTCATTCAACGTCTCTACGATCCGCTAAGTGGACAGGTCAGTGAATTTATTAGACAAAATCGTTTTTCATCGAGATAAAAAGATCCATTACTTGAAATTATTCATTTCGATAATATGACAAGGTGCGAAACGTCAAACCTATTAATTTAAAGATTTCAGAATTTTCAATATTGTATCGTATTTTTTTCTTCCTTATAAAAGGCTTGTTCTAAACTCGTTTTAAGAATATAGCGATACACAGTTCGCATGATATATTATTATTATTAGAGAACAAAATTAATAATCCCGCGTCTCATAAATGTGGGAATATTTTTATCCTTCGAAAAATTGCAGCGACGTCTGAATAAATGGCGAGACACAATATATTTATTTGCCGTTATCGAGAAAATAATTGTTTAAAGCAATCGCGACCCTGTATTATATTTTCCATTATCGAGAATCGAAGGTTTCGTTGAGCATCATCTTATCGATATCAATTCACTTATCCTGTTTATATTTTTACAATGGGACATAAAATTTTCACGATGAAAAACCGCCGTATTCACGCTAGAAAAGATCGGATATCGCTAAATTATTGCCGCTCGAACGAAGTCGAGCACGTTGTGTAGTGAAGGGGTGTCGTAGCAATTTTATTGTTAACGCGAGCGCAATTTTTATGACGGCAAAGTAGTTGCGGATACAATAAACATTCGAATGCGAACACATATATTTTTTTTAGCTGCCTCCTTTTTTGAATAATTTTTTTATTTCTTTCTTGTTTATTGGTTGGTTTCATGATATGTTTATAATTAATTTTATTTTATCTTGTTATATTATTACGTAAATGCATGATCTGATACAAAATAATACAATATACAAAATAATAATGATAATGAAGTAAAGAAAAAAAAATATATATAAAGACATATTAATTCGGAAAAATTATTCTTCTCTTAGAAGTTATGATTACAAACGCGACTCTTCTTGTCGTCGTTTGACTATCGATTTTCGTTTCAGTGTGTGTGTGTGTGTGTTGTACATGTGCGAGAGACAATTTCCAAGAGTTTTCCGTATTTTTCTCTACAGGTGCTTCTGGACGGAGCTGACGTGTCAACGTTGAATGTTCAATGGTTGCGCTCGCACATTGGCGTGGTTGGTCAGGAGCCAGTGCTCTTTGACACGACGATACGGGAAAATATCCGTTACGGAAATGACAGCATTACCGAAGAGGAGATGATCAAAGCTGCGAAGGAAGCGAACGCTCACGACTTCATCAGCAAACTGCCGGAGGTGAGCGCCGCCGACCTTTTCTCGTATTCTAACCAAGCGCCCTTTGTCTGTCCGGAATTATAGTTTCCTTTTAGTCGCGCGAGTTCGATTGATTCACCCAGTTTCAACGGGAAGTTACAGAATCGGCAGACACGTCGGAGCGTCATTCGATTGAAAACCCGACGAAGATATTGTTCGCTCTAGTTTGATTCTCTCAGTAAACCATCTTTCAACGCGTTTATTTCGATTATGTTACATTTTTCACTCAATTTCTTGCACTTAAGTAACAATTTCCAAAATCATGCGTAATACTTAAATCCCTTGTTTGGAATTTTCATCATTTGCAGAAGGAATAATTGTCACCGTGCGAGATATCATTATTCGATGAAACTTTCCGAGCACGCGTAAGTTTCGAGATTTGCCGGGCGTAATTAAATGTAACGAGATAAAACGATAAATAACGACCGACGAAATGATTTTCCAGTTACGAGAATAATTTCCGAACCGGATACCGCGCGCGTATTGCAATGTGTTAACAATAGTCTCAGGTGTGCCTGGCAGTTCGCGTGGTACGCGCGCAAACAGGCGATAAAACACGCGTGTTGAACCGTGCACGAGGCAAATAACATTATCCGAGATTACGCCTATGTCAACGATTAGGCGTTTATTAGCGGATTATCAGTGGGTGAATTCGATACTCGCGACGATTCCATTGGATCGCTGCCGCGTTTGCATTTAGAGCTTACATCCACACACGCATTACGATTTAACCATGTACCTTCCGCATTGTAAAAAAATGGAGGCCTGCGTGGGATGAGTATATTTATCATTGTGATAATTGATCGGCGGCCACGTGTTATGATAATATCTACGATAAACCTCGGATTATTTTCATTGAATTGCATCGGATATAAATCGACTTAATCGTCGAAAAGCAAAATTCTTCTGATTAATGAGAAAAACTTCCGGGTCTCTTCTAAGTAATTTTTTTTCCTCTTTGTTCAAAAAATACAGCTATATATGTAGATTCGAAGCGGATAATAAATGCCGTTATCAATGAACGCATGTTGCAGCTTGCGAATTTATTAAACCGCGCGTTCCATATACACCGCAGGTGTGATACGCTGTTTTGCCTTTGATTAAATAACGGTTATTTCAAACCGCAAATCGCTCGAAAACTGCCCTCGAGCAGTTGACAGCCCGATGGTCGATATTACCTCACATTTAAACGAATAATATAATTCTCTCCTGTGGGCTTAAATAAAAGTAACATAAAAAAATTATCGGAGAAAAATTGGAAATGGAGGAAAGAATGTTTTTCATCAAAGAATTGTAAAGAATTATATTATATATTGCTGCCATCATGCGAACAAATTTTATTGCATGCGTAATTATTTATAATAACTTTTAATTAAAATTATTAAGAGTGGAAAAATCTATTTATTGAATACAATAGTGAAGGATTTAAAGAATTAATTTTCTTAGAAAAATTTCCCTCTGAGACACGCTCTTTTTTAAGATATATCTGAATATTAACTCGATCTTTCGCATGAGAGGCTCGAAATAATAATATCATCGATTTCGATTTAGGGATACGATAGTCCAGTGGGCGAGAGAGGCTCTCAATTATCGGGCGGACAAAAGCAAAGAATCGCCATCGCGCGCGCGTTAGTGAGAAATCCGGCAATTCTCCTCTTGGATGAGGCAACATCCGCTTTGGACGTTCACAGCGAGGCAACCGTGCAAAAAGCTCTCGACGCTGCTGCGAAGGGAAGAACGACGATTATAGTCAGCCACAGACTTTCCACAATCACGAATGTCGATAGGATCGTGGTTATTAAAGACGGTGTTGTCGTTGAGCAAGGTACCCATGAGGAATTAATCGCGCTCAAGGAACATTACTACGGATTGCATTCCACTCACGTAAATGCTCAAGCTAAAGGTATTGCATAATATTGTACGCGCGTATCGATATTATAAACATTTTCGTACATTACTAATTATCTCATTATTTGACATTAGATAAAGCCACGAAAGCTGCCGCGAAGGCTGCAGTAACAAGCCCGAAGTTGAAGACGAAACCGCCGCTGAGTAGGCAGTTTTCAACCATGTCCTTGCATTCTCATCGATTATCCATCGCGAGATCTGAATCCTCTGAAGAGGAGCTTGAGGAACACGAGAAACCTTATGACGCCCCCTTAACGAGGATATTCGCGCTTAACAAACCGGAATGGCTGTATAATCTAATTGGTAATTTTCAGCTGACGAGAATAATTAGTAGTAACAGTAACCAATAGCTTTCGTTAATAACTAAGAATCAGTTCTTTGAAGGAAACTATAAAAAGCAAGCATATCCAGCAATAAAAATATTTACCATGATAGAAGAGAAAGAAAAGAAGAAATAATCTTGATTTTTTTCTTCTTAAAGTCTGTTCTCTCCGATAAAACAATTCGAATAATTCTTTTATTCGCCATCGTATATTATAAAATACTCATACGATTCTTTTCGCAGGATGTTTCGCGGCGGCGACGGTAGGCGCATCCTTCCCGGCCTTTGCCGTGCTATTCGGTGAGGTGTACTACGTGTTAAGTCTCCAAGATCCCGACGAAATCTACAGAAGGACCGTCAACTTCTCGATATTATTCATCATTGTGGGCATATTCACGGGTATCGGCACCTTCCTGCAGATGTACATGTTTGGCTTCGCCGGCGTGCGTATGACAACGCGAATAAGAAGAATGGCGTTCAACGGGATGCTGAAGCAAGATATGGGCTGGTACGACGAGGATGCGAATAGCGTGGGCGCACTTTGCGCGAGATTGTCGTCAGACGCCAGCGCCGTTCAGGGCGCGACCGGGACTCGCATCGGTGCCATCCTACAGGCCTTCTCGACCCTCGTGATCGGAATCGGATTGTCCATGTACTACACTTGGAAGATGACATTGGTCTCCGTGGTATCGATTCCCCTGGTTCTTGGCGCGGTGTTCTTCGAAGCGAGAGTGATGGGCGGTCAGGGTATGCAAGAGAAGAAGAAGATGGAATCGGCCACGCGAATCGCCGTGGAAGCGATAAGCAACATCCGCACGGTTGCCAGTCTCAACAAGGAGGAGCGCTTCTTCGATAGATACTGCGTGGAATTGGATCATGTTGCCAAAGCGACTAGGACCGGAAGTAGATTGAGGGGCGTTGTGTTCTCGTGCGGGCAGACCGCGCCCTTCTTCGGATACGCCATTAGCCTTTATTACGGCGGATACCTAGTGGCCAGGGAGGGGCTGAGTTATGAGAATGTCATCAAGGTGTCGGAAGCGTTGATCTTCGGCTCGTGGATGCTTGGCCAGGCGCTTGCCTGGGCGCCTAATTTCAACACGGCCAAAATATCAGCCGGCAGGATCTTTCGGCTGCTTGACAGAGTGCCGGAAATCAGTTCGCCACCGGGATCGGAGGGGAAGGATTTAGATTGGGTGAGTTTATCTCGTTTACATTCGAGTGTAAACTCGTAAACCACGAATACATAGCATATATTTTGCAAATTATGCACTTTCATTTTCATGCATATGTATATTTAGCGCTGACCATCTATCAAATAATATTTGCGAGATTTAAATACAAATTCAGATTGCGGTTGACTCGTTAAACCGCCAAAATGTTTGTATCAAATAATGTTTAACATCGAATAATAATAATGAAGCTACATGAAATATAAAACGTCTAATTAATTTTCGAAAAGAAACAGAAAAATCGTTAAGAACGCAAAGTCACGATAGAGAGGAAATTTAGTTTTAACTTTTAATTAGAATTTCTTATAATATTCATTTAAATTTGCGCGACATTGAATATGATATTTATTTTTACAATATATTTATTTCTTTATGATTCGCTACAGAATCATAAAATCATTAGTCTTTCAGATTTATTTTATCAGCGCACAAACCGATCAATTTGTCTAAGATAATTCTTTTGATAATTCTTCCTGATAATTATTAATAAGATTTTTAAAGGAGCTTAAAAATTTATAATGTATTCGACAAACAAGCTACATAGGACGTAAACAGTTCTAATAATCCATGAAGTATAAATTTATCAAATGATTAATGATTAACGTCTTGCTTCAAATCGCGGTTTTCTATTTAGTTTCCAATGCAACATATTTACACGGGGAGCCAAAATGCTTGTGCAAATGATGTAGTATCTATTATAGAAATTTATGGCTGTTTAATAGAACAGTTTCAAAGCATGTCTCAAGCAACGTCTCGTTAATTAATATTCCAAATATGGAACTCTAATTGATTCCGTCAAACTGACATCATCTCTGAACATATATTTGAATAAAGTAAATTAAATGAAACCTCTCAAGTACCTATATATATACTCAAGTATCTGAGTATTCTCAAATATCTACACATAATGAATCACGCGATTATATAAATTTTTTCCAATTATTTGGAAAAAAAAATTAAAAGACACTCATTGTTTATATCCTTCATATATAAGAGGAACGTTACAGGGACACAATCAGCGTGTAAATTACGAGAGTAAACGTGTGAAATCTTTTCTCGGCTAACTAACGGATCGCTTTGTGTTTTTGCTTTACAGAAGGCGGACGGTCTCATCCAATTCTCGAAAGTCGACTTTCACTATCCGACGCGTCCGGAGATGCCAGTGCTCAAAGGGCTGAATTTAATTGTAAAGTCGGGTCAGATGGTGGCTCTCGTGGGTCAAAGTGGTTGCGGAAAGTCCACTTGCATTCAGTTGTTGCAACGGCTCTACGATCCGCTCGCAGGCACCGTGACGATGGACCGGCGTGACATCGCGTCGGTCTCGCTAACCACGCTCAGATCACAACTAGGCGTCGTGGGACAGGAACCGGTGCTCTTCGATAGAACGATAGCCGAGAATATTGCCTATGGTGACAATAGTCGACAGGTGACGATGGATGAGATCATCGAGGCCGCCAAGATGTCCAACATTCACAGCTTCGTGGCTTCGTTGCCGTTGGTCAGTCAACGTTATTTTTAGAAATTAATATTTTCCTTAAATAGTCGCCTTTATAAGTAAAGAAATTAAAAAATGAAAATTAATTGAAGAATACAAACTTTTGGCTTTTTATGTCACTTAATGTATTAATTAAATTTAATATTTATATATTATTTTTTTATATATATAATATATGTAACGAAATATTATACAAATATTAAATTTAATATATTAATTTAATGTAAATATTAAATTTAACATTAATTCAATACAAATATTAAATTTAATATATTAATTTAATATAAATTTAAATATTAATAACAAAATATTATACAAATATTAAATTTAATATATTAAAATCACGCGAAATTAAAAGATTTTGCATTAAATATGAATATAAAAGTATAATCAATCGAAATCTTATAAAAATCGCGATTAATTGAAAAATATTTCGAAAAGAAATTATAGATAGTTTATTGATATATATTGTAATTATTTTTTATATATATGACTATACTCTTCTATATGACTTAACCCTTCTTTTTATTTATATTTTTTAGGGATACGATACAAGATTAGGAACGAAGGGTACTCAACTTAGTGGCGGGCAGAAACAAAGAATAGCAATCGCACGTGCTTTACTGAGGAATCCTCGAGTTTTGCTATTGGACGAAGCAACTTCAGCCCTCGATACTCAAAGTGAGCAGGTAAGAACGGCCACAATATTCCTCCGAAGAAAATAACTCGTGAATAATTTTGCGGGTGATTTTTCCTCTTTTTCTTCCCTCGATATCAAGTATTAAATATTTGCCTCGAGTTTTAGCAATATATAGTAAAAAAGAAAACACCACAGATGCTCATTTTTCAAATAAATGTATTTGTAGATTGTTGCGGAAATAATATTAGCAGCAAATTATTTATATTGATTGCATAAAGCACTTTATGTGATGAAGAAGAATCTCTGTCCGAAATGAAACGTGTCTGGCTTCCGCCTCTTATAACGCTTCCTATCAATATTAATGAAATATACTGTATACGAAATATCCTCGGGATTATATTTCGAGCCTCTAATGAAGACAGAGATCAACGCGAGACAGATTGGAAATACGATTGGAAATTTTCCGAAGAACGAAGAGATCGTTATCGTTATCGTTTTCGCGGGGGTGTCGATCGGTGGCGGGCAATCTAGTTAACGATCGTTGAAAGCGAGGGCGATTTTCACGAGCACCATTTGCAGATTTTTCCCAGTAGAATTCTACCGGCGGAATCGCGTACACTTCATAATGTCGTTGCTGTAGTCGTTAAGAAAGTCTGTTGCGTTCTCGCCGTGCGAGTTTACGTCTGCTTTAATTGGCGAAAGCAAGGAAAGATATGCTTGCACGCGCGAACGAAGTTGTTCTCCTTTTATTGCGGTTGCTCCTGAGTTCTGTCGAGCAACGAGTCAGCAACGAGTTCTTAGGTCCGTTTGTTTTAGCTGCACTTTTCTCTACTTTATACGAAGCGAATGTATATTTGCGCTTTGGACGGGAAAGAAAAGTAGGATCACGATGTGGAAGATACAAATAAAAGAGACTTTTTTAATGCAAAGAGCAAAGTCTGAATTTTTTCCCAAGTTGCTTCTCAACACAGCTATAAATATTAGTCCTAGCATTCAGAGAAAAGTATTAAAATTTGTGATAAAATGTATAAGAATGTAAAAATAAATTGTTTAATTAATATTCCTGTTGCGCGGAATCGACATAAATTGCTTCGCATTTTTTACGAAATGCAAACTATTGAAATAAACGTGTAAATATCTCGAAACTATGTTGCAAACGGAACTATTTCCGATAAGCAATAATGGGCGTGATAGTCGACGGTGTTGGATAATAAATATCTGAGTATTTACAGTATCGACTATGCGGATCTCTCACATTAGTGATCTAAACTCGCACACGGCGCGACGCCATGAATATTAATGATAATCGATAAATTCTGATAAAAAGTATCGGAGGAAAAATAATGCTCGGGATATATATACTGACGATTGAAACTCGATAATTCGTACGTGAAAATTCCATAATCGCGCGATCGCATCTTCTTACTTTCGGTTTGCGATTTCGTAAAAGAAGATCGCGACAATAGATCTCGGTAACATGCCGGATAAGTATTTTTCCTTTCTTTTTTTTCCCTCCCTTCAATCTGTCGAAATTACCGGCTGCGACGGCCATTGACGGTATTATCGGTGCTAACAATAGGAAATTTCCGGTTTTACGAGCGAACGATTGTTGCGTTTCCTCTGGTCGGGAAACGGCTCGAAATGAATTTCACGGCAACATTGTTTCACGCTAAAACATAATACATGTATGCGCCATTCCTCTTCTCATGCGTTACCGATTCGTGAAACGATTGCGGAAAAGTGCTTATATTTGATTAGCTTCTCTGATTTCAGGTGCTCCGATTTCGCATTAACACAGTCGCTTTGCGTTAATTGCCTCACGTTTACGAAATTAATTTTGGAAAATGTACTGGGAGGAATAATGCATATTAGCCGGAAACACAAGAGACACAACGTGCGCAACGCGGTATTATTAATGTTAATTGTTTTTGACTCTTTCACTAGCGGCACTCATATAACGTTCCGCCTCGTGTAACGAATCGGCGTCATACATACGCAATGTAAGTGCGTTTAAGTTAAAACTTGTGTTGTTTTGAACATGTTGTTTTGAAAATAAACGACATAAGCAGCTGATAATTTCTCGGCATTAAATTAGACGCGAAAGAAACGCATAGAAAGCTTTTAATTCATTTTAAAACTCACACAGTATCCCTTGAAAAATTCAAATTGACGTAAAAGTTTGCAATGGAACGGAAAATTCTAAAGTAGCAGTTACTCAGACAATTTTCCGCGAGCGAAAGCTACACCTTGCAATATTCCTCGCGCACATAATACCGTAAGGCTTATAAAAGCCTCGCCGATGATTAAGATGTATAAGACGAAGGCTGGTAATAACCGACTTAACGACCGTCGTTTACGTTTTCATTTCCGCCGTTGTCGTCACGCGCTTATGACGTGTCCCCAAAGAAACACGCTATCGCATTTATCTGACATTTTCTGCGCGCAGGTCGTGCAGGCGGCCCTGGACAAAGCCATGCAGGGGAGAACGTGTATCACCATTGCCCACCGTCTGGCCACCATAAGAAACGCCGACGTGATCTGCGTACTGGACCGAGGCACCGTGGCCGAGATGGGCACCCACGATGATCTGATGTTGGCCGGTGGCCTCTACGCTCACTTGCACGATCTTCAGGAAAGCTCCGTACAGTAGAGAGGCAGCTCAAATTATCGCTTTTCTCTTCCATCGCGCGCGATTCGCCCGTCGATGATGCACCGCGTTCCATTCGGAGACAAGAGATAATTCAGTCGAGAGCGCGGAAAACGGAAGAAAGCGTGAGACTGCAGAGCGGAATTCAAATGGTCGCCGGAAGAACTGTCAAGAAACACCGAGAACTAGCTATCGCTAGACTCGAGAGGGCAAACTCGCCAGAGAAAAGGCAGATTTATTCTCGCGAAGTGATAAACGCGATTCGCCGATTCGCTCCGCAGCGAAATCGTACGAATCAAGTATCGATTTATTTTTGACGAGGATTTTATTTTAAACCAAGTTTCAGAATTTCATTTATTCCTTTCTTCGCATCGGATCTGTCCTAAATTAATTTCAATTATGCGGGGTTTGAATGATACTGACAAATTATCACAGTTTTCTCTTTCAATCTCTATTGACTCATTTACTTACAAACGAGAGCATAAAATTACGGTGATTAATGTCAAAGTTTCTTCACGAACATTTGATATAATTTATATATTTTTATGAAATTTTTGATCAATTTTTAACTTTTTGTCAAAGTTCATAAAATATTTTATATGATTTATATCCTAGACAATTCTCACCGTAATGTCTATTTCATCTATATCTCTGTATTTCTATCATTTTTATTCATTATTTATCGTCTCGTCTCCTTCTAATTTTACAAAACGTTTGTGGCTGAGTAGACTAAAGTGTTCCTTTATCGAGGTCTTGCTTCTCCTGGCGGTCACGTTACTTCGTTAGGCATCGTACTTTGCGCATCTACGTAACGATACTTTTAGACGGTGAAACGAGACATTATCCGTAATGGCAGACGACGTAATCAACTTTACCATTTCTGCGTCCCGTCGTCATTTGTATGCGTCGACTTTTCTCCATAACGCTTTTTCAGGTGATAATATTTCTCGCGTGCGCACATGTACACATGTATACATACGCACACTACACGAGGGTTTTCATGACATCATATTTTGCGATGAGCGGAAAATTTGACTATCTTCCTCTCGGATAAAAAAATTCAGTCAAATGAACAAAAAGAGTCTTTTCGATATTATTATGTATTAAAGAATTTAATAATTTACTATTCACTACTGCCTAAACTGCATTATTGAGCGAAAGTCGGTGCAACACAATTTCAATAGATACAATTAGTGTAATTAATGTTATTGATCTACGTCATCCCACAGATTAGATAGATGGCGAACACCGAATCGATTGGTTTGCGGGGCGTAATTCATGTATGTACAAGACGTACAAATGTAGTGACAGGTGTTGAATAACATGGCGTTGAAAGTATTTCTCCGTCATCGTAATTTTGACAATTCCGTGGTGATGCCCTAAATGTATGAAAAATATATAGATATTATTTCTCCCGGAATAATACTCGCGCGCGATCTCACGCGTTTCTTCATTGCTTCTCTTTTATCTGAAAAATTCAAATGTTCATCTCTATCCTCTCGCGAAGATAAAGAAAGAGGGAAATTCCTCTCTCATTCGGATATACCTACCCGTATAACACCTAATTCATTCGTGAGACAAAATTTTCAATACAAGGATGTAATGAATCTTCGTCCGCTCCCTTTTGCCTTAATAATTAAATATTAATTTAATCCCGCCGTCACGTGATGAAGAATATAAAAACAAAGACAATAACGACGGGCAGCAACGATAAAAGTGATAAAAAATACATACTTGGCACATTTGTTTACATCTGAAGAGAGAATACTCTCCTTCGCCGGGGAAAGGCAAATATACGTATTCGCGAGCATGTGCTGAATTCGATCGAAGAAAATTATGTAAAGTAATGCTCATGTTTGAATAAACCGAAATTTATTACCGCAATAACGGTTATGTGTACGGTGGGGAATAAATAAAATGGAATAGGAAATCGTATATTTACGAGAAAAGACGATTCGGCGTCTAATAAGAATCTGGCTTCCTTTGTATGACTTCGAAACGATTTCCCCTTGTGCGAAACGAAAATCGATAATCGCGAAACAATCAGGGATTCTTAGTGGAGCGGCAATTGACTTCTCGAATGCTCTCGCGTTCTTTCATAAATTACACGTCGCGACTGAGTCATCTCGCGATTATATTCTACCAATATACATACTTAGTGCCTTTTCTCCTTTAGACTTTAAAGATAATGAGATTCCAGCACGCGGAGGCTTATCGGATTTAGCGATGATATATATATATTTGACAACAAAGAGAGTAAAAAGGACGATTTTTCAGAATTTGTACTCTTGGCTTAAGGGATCTACGTCTGTGACGTCGTCATAATTCATTTACTGAGAAATAATACTGTGACCGATAACTGTTAATTGTAAGGATCGAGTAAAGTGATTAATATCTTTCGAAAGAATTTCCGTAGCTAAACTTGTATCAATTTAAAACGAATTTAACTATCTTTTTACAATATTTACAGAAAACCGATTATTTTACATATTTTTATATTAGTAATATAAATATAAAATTATAAATAATATATTAATTATAAATAACATACATAATAAAAAAAAATATATATATATATTATTAATTATACTTAAAATAATTAATAATATGGTTTTGGTTCATCAAAAAATGATGAAATACAGAAAAGACGATATCTCGCGATACTTTTGAAATTCCTGATCGATACTTATGATTAACATTGCGGCTGTTGCTTAAAAACAAACTTAAGGAAAGAGATCTTGTACTAATTAAAACAGAGTAAAAATAAACTCTCGCTTGAATCTATGAAAACATTCAATAATTAGCGTAATTCACACAAGCGATCTGTATGTACTTACAATGATACTAGAAATGGAGGAAATATTACAGTTTTTGTAAACAGAAAAACATGATTGTAATACAATAATAAAAAATAGTATAACAAAGGGGAAAATGCAATCTGTAATTATGTTAATTTCTTCCTTCTATTTACTAATATTTTTTGTCCTTTAATATTTTGTTGTGCATTATCGTGAATATTAATTAATCAGATGGAAATTATGTTTGTAAAAAATATCGTGGACATGCTCATCCTTTATAATTCCGCGGTGAACATGGAATTATTAACATTATTTCAGAAAAAATTTGATGAAGAATATCTAATTACAAAATTATTAAAAATTTTAAAAAGTCAAAGAGCTTCCTTTTGTAATAAATAATAATTCTTTGCGATAAGGTAAATTACCGGATAAATTGATCTTAATAGCGTTCTTTCAAAGGCAGTCATAATTTTTTTTTATATCGCAGTATACTTACTTGGCGCAAACATTATACTATAAGAAAGAAATATCCCCATCTTGTTGTCTATCGTTTCCGTCTCGTCATAAGAATACTTATATATAGTATTATACTTATTTTTATCACATGCTTATTTATGTCACGGCTATTTATATCAGTATAAAAAAGGGCAGGAATATGAATGGGGTGAATTAATGAGGGTTTTCCGCCATTATATTATGCTTCGAACATCAGTACCATTCCGAGGCAAAATTCATCAAAAATTCAATTGTATTATCACTTCCCTTGTGGTTCAAAACACAATTTTTAATTTCCTTGACACTTTCTATAAAATTTGCTTGTCATAAGAAAAATTTATAAACTCTTGCGCGCAAATGAAAAGAAAGACGAGTATATCTATCTTACACCGCTGTCAAAGTATCATTGTGAAAGAAGAAAGGAAGCTACAGAAGGTTTAAAAATTTAGAAGGAATAGGCAAAGGCATTTGACAAAGGGACAAGAAGTGAATATCAAGTATGATGGACGATGATGACTCGGGAGGGCAGATGTAGAAAGGAAGAGGGAGTTCTTCAAAGCTAGAGTGAATTTGCAAAGTTATGAAACTCTGCGGTGACTGCAATGGATGATAGAATTTTTAAGCAAACTTCAGCTGATATTGCAAATGCTGCGAGAAAATAAATCGTAACAATGACGTTCGTGATATCTCGTACAACCGGTTCATTTAATTTTACGTTGATTTAAAGTTAAATTGATATACAAAGTAAATTATACAAAGTAAATTCCATTTACAAAGTATATCAAATGGTTTATTTTATTTTGACTGTGCGTTATAACATAAGTTAGTAATACAGTTTAATTAATAATAATATATTAATTATTAAATTAACAATTCTGGTCATCTCGCTTTTATGGCGAAAATTTTATATCGCAAAGAGACAAATAATTTTGCATTATACATAAAATCAAGCTAACGATTGCTATTATTTTCAAAAATTTAATATGGCAATTTTAAAGTAATAACCTGTCGGATTTAATAACGGATATTTCAATGCAAAATGATAGCATATTTTTTGCTGTTTAGTTGTAATAATAAATAAATTTGCATTTCTAAAATTTTACATTTTATTTCAAAAGCACAAAACAGTCAGAATAAAATTTTACATCTTAAACCGTTGTAATCTTTTTTCATGAAAATTTTAAAAAGTTAAGGAAATAAAATATAATAATATACAGAACAAATATACAATAAATATAATATTATATATACATAAATTTTTACATGTAATTATGTGTAATTGTATGCAGTAGTATATTAAAAGTAATACTAGTTAAATTATAATTCTACTTTAGAAATTATAATTATCTTTTTCGTTGATATTCAGAGGACCTATATTAATTTAACTAGTTTGCAGCAATGCTGATACTATGCAATATTGAGCTAATACTTAGCAACACAACATAGACGAAATTTTGGGATAGAATTTAGCACGGGTCGCGTTGTGGTTGGGTGTCAATTAGCATTCAGCGAGGAACGTCGTCCTTTGTCGTATGTACCAGGCGAACTGGTCCGAGCGTTTCACGGGAAACAGAGGATCGTGCCAACTAGGCGGATGGCGAGAAATGACGGTCGAGGAATAGTCGGCGTGGGTGTAAATGCATTTGTATAAACGCACGCGGAAGATGAGATCGTAAACAAATACACCTATCTCTAGTAAAACGCGAAAAGAGGGTCGAACGAGCCAAACTGTTTTCATTATTTATTGTTAAAATCACATAAATGTGTGGGATAGTTTTATTTTTATTAAAAATTAGTTGACGGACGAGAGAGAGTGCTCTTCCTCGCTTTTTAGCAGAAGAGAATTGAGTGAAAAATACTTTCCCCCCCTAAGAAAACCGATGAATAAAAAAACACGTGCAAAATGAAACTAATAAAAAATACAATACGATATTTATACAATTTTTTCACGTGAAAAGTATTTTTCATCAGAGTTCGGGCAAGATCGTTTTTCATGAAATGCATACTTCGATGTGTGCGAAAAGAAGAAAAAAATAAATTTGATAAAAATACTAACGTTATTTAATGTTTTATGTAAGAGAGATAAATGGTAAAAATACGAGTTAAGTTCGAAAACACTTTGTTAATGACCGGTGAATAGTTTTCACAAGAATCTAAATAATTGGCGAAGAAGTATCATAAACGAGCGTTATATAATTAAAAAATATGTATGAATAAATCGATATATCTATCGATATATCTACAGAGAAAGAGAGAGTGAGAGAGGGAGGGAAGATAGAGAAGAGGCAACCGCGGGTTGAGAGCACCGTTGTGTTTCCTACTGCGTGCAAGCCGTCGCGCATATAAATCAGCATAAATTGCAATGCAGGGATTCCGTAGTCGTGGCATGCATCGTCTGCGTTTCGTATCGTACATACTGCGTTTAACAGTTACACAGGTGCTACACATGCGGGATGCAGACCAACAGCCTATCTACCCTCGAAAGATAGCCTCGTTGATTTGCCGTAATGACGAGATAATTTGCGACGAGATAATTTTCCTCTACACGTGCAGATATCTATAAACTTTTATTTCTAACTAATTATGCCAGGCGTTAAATATTAAATATTTAAATAATTGTACATCCAGTGCGTTGAATAATTAATATTCATTAATTATTACGTTTATTGTAACACGTTAATATCACATATATTTTGACACGATGTTTCGGAAAGTGCGAATACATTATTTTATAATTAATTAATAGAAGTAAATTTAATTTTTTATATGCTCTTCTTACATTTATAGTGATTTTTATTCATTATTATTCATTAAAAGAATATTAAATGTAATAGATTACATTTCGAAAATATTCTGGTTTGTTAGACGTATTAAATATAATATAATATAATTTTTCATACATTATACTTGGCAAATATAATTCGGCAGAAGTAAGCATGAAAGGATTGCGCAGCAAATCCATCATGCGCATCTCACTTAAAACGAAATGCTTTCTCAAATTGACGTGACATTTACTCAATAATGTACAAATGCAAACTGTAATTT